TTAACCCCTTAAGGTACACATTAATTTCTAAATTTCGGTCAAAAAATCACCTATTTTTTTTCTTGCATAATCATATTCTCTAGTGCATTTTAAGAAACAACAGCCAGGGTTAGCTTCAAATCGAAATCTCGGTGGTGCAACGTTTGGTTGATTTATACTAATTTGATACCAATTCCTTGCTATATCCAAAATCTCGTTGTCATTATCTTCCGATTCACTTCCATCACTCAAGAAATCATCACTCTCATCGCTGAAACTGTCTGATAAATTGGCATATTCAAAATTGTCATCGTCAGAGTCACTCATTATCAGATAACTTTTTTTAGATTACAAAAACACTTAGTAATATAATTTGCAGTTAACTGCTTACTTTTATTATATTTACGTAATAAAAATGGATATATTACCTTTTCCACACCAAACGACTACTTTATAGCAAAGAATTCCTAGCAAACTTATAGCTAATCATCAAAATGCGCCACGTGGTTTACACAAGAAAAATGCTGAATAGTGGTGCCATCTATGTCAAATAAGTTTAATTATAATCTAGCCTATTTGTTTTTACTGGAACGGATCTCAGACAAGCATTAGAAATAAAATGACGCGAGATACAAGGGCGCCCGTGTGAGACACGGGCATGTGCAAATTTGCCGGAAACATGTGCAAATTTGCCGGAAAAACGTGTGAGACACGGGCAAATGCGTTAAGGGGTTAATAAAGTAAACAAATAAATGTTAAGCTCTTTTTTTGTAAATTTTGATACCCTTTAGATCATAATTGCTATTTATTTCATAAGTTACGGTTTCATATCTTTAACTTTATAATTTCTACATGCCATCTTACCAGATTTAAAACTGATGATCTATGCGGAAAAACCGATAATCTGGAATTTCCAAAGTCCCGACGAGTCCGGATTAAAGACTTTTAACTGTATTATTATTTGGACATGTGTTTTAAGTTCTCCTTTCCATTTTCTCACCAGAATGTAAATGAGACAGCCAGTATTTAAACTGAGGACTTTGGATTTTTAAGATAGAGCATGTTTCTGGCTTCATGCACATGTTATGTATTAGTTCCTGCCAGCTTGAAAACTTTAATCATTTGGCTTGGTATTGCTGTGCTGCCGACATTTTGATGCTCTAGAAGATTTACTTAACCAACTTATAGTAAGAGGTCTTTGACTACTTTTTTATATTTTAACTTGAAATTGATTGTTCCTTTAGTTGCATCACCACAAGCAGTGGCTGATATTATTAGCACAAAAAAGTGCTTTTATATTCTAAAATCCATTTAAATGAAAAGTTTGTTTAAGCGCCTCCACAACTTTAAAGTTATTCCAGACACAGTGATAATTCACTTTACATCTATTGGGGTTACTGACTAATTATCAGTTCCAGGTAAAGTAAAATCCCACAAAGTATACATAATACAGTTCTGCATAATTTTTGCCTCTAATTTTAATTCAAAGCCACATAATTTTAATGTTTATATTCAAATGAATATGAAAACAAAAGAATTATAACCAGTACACATTATGAGAGTTATTTAAAATTTTTAAATTAAAAAAAATCTATCTAATTGAAGTGAATCCTACAGTCACAACTATTAAATATCAAACATTTACTATGTAGTGAACCCTTTTGTGATGATCATGTAAAAAATGACTAGTATTTCTGACAGCATTCACAAATACCTATACCTAACATACTCTCTAAGACAACCACCACCACAGAAGAGCACAACCAGTGGCTAGGTGGTTAAGAGAGATGAATACTGGTAGTTTGGCCTGACTTGGGTTTGATAACATGCCAATGGGCTGGCTACATGGTTTTCCCTGTGTTTAACATGAATATGGACCAGTTTCTCTCTGAAAGCCATGATGGTATGCCACTTGCTAGGCTGACTGCTCTCATGGCTTTGCCATCTTCGAATAACCTGACAAACAAAACAAAAACCTGGCAAACACACACACACACACACACACACACACACACACAAAAAAAAAAAAGAACCATGTGGGGTAATTTTAGAGATGGTTCACAGAAATTTGCAAATAACAGATATGCATTTTGCTCAAAGGAGTTACATTCATTACAGTAAGTTAAATGCAAAGCTTAAGAAACCTTTTCAGTTATGCTCTATGAGAGAAAAGCATCAAATAAGTAATTTGATGTAACTTTTCATGTTCAGGAATTATATAGGATTTCACTAACAAAGCCCAAATTTCCCAAAAATTACCATGAGAAAAAGGCATTTTTGTTGATTTTAATGCCAAAATGCCCTGCTGCTTTATATTTAGATTTATGTACTTTTAAAATTTTGCTTTAATTTCTTGGACATATTTCAAGATGCTTATATACATATTTTCTTACGGATGTCAGAAAAAATATGCTGAGCATATATATATATATATATATATATATATATATATATATACAAGATACCTTGCCAGCTGGAGGGTTTTAAGTATCTTTCAAAAAGAAAACTAAATCAATCAAATAATTTACACTAGTTATTCAGAAATTCAACCTAACACTGATCCCCATCTGTAAAAACTTTTAGCAATAATAATCAGATAACAGACTTTAGCTAACTATTAGATTAGTAAGTGAACAATGATATTTTATCTTAACTTTCATTAAAGGGGACTAAACAAACAACCTGCATAGGATTTCATCCCTTTTTTTCCCACAGTTTAATGTTAGGAAGACCCACATTCTCTCCATACATGAAGGAAGACAATCGTTGAATGCTATGCCATAATAATCTAACTGCAATAAAATTTTCCACTGCTTCAACAGAAGCTTAGCATGAAGACATTGTGTTAAGATACAAGACTTTGATTTTAAATACATTTATTAATGCATTAAAAATGGAGACAATGGATTAAAAACAAAATATCACAATATATGACTTTAGCTAAAGATTTGGATGTCTTTAGCTTTTCCCAGAGAGTCCTCTTCTGGTTGATACCATTCAAGTGCTTTTTTGTAACAACAAATAAATAAAAAATTATATAAACAATAATCCTAATAAATTAAAAAAATTTTGAAATTTCTGTCATTAATCCACTAGATTAAATTTAATGACCTAAAATATAGAATTGCTGAAATTTCGACTATTCTACCAAAGTTCAAGCTGTTTAGACCATTTCTAACGCTATTGGAGAAACTTTTCCAGATTTAAGCACTTAAACTCATGATTAAAAAAAAAACAGAAGGGCTGATGTCGGAAAGTCAGCAGAAGGGGCAGTAAAATTAGCCGGGCTGCACCAAGTTGCAGAATTTAAGGCAACAAAAGCTTCAGCATTAGGGCAGAGACAGAGCAGCAAAACACCTAGTGCAGACCCTGAATCTCAGCCTTCATTAAATAGACTTGTTTAGGTTACTTGGAAATGTCAAAGCAAGGGCTATTTGCCTATAAGGATACTTTTTTTCAGGAATTAAGGAAAACCTGCATTCACATTACATATGGGAGAAACCATGAAAACCACTCATGCAGCCAGCCTTTTCACATGCATCTGAACCGGGGTCAAACAACCAATATTCAGCAGCCTTAATCACTTGGCCACTGGTGGGATCTGACTAGTTTTGTTACCTATTCAGTAGAACAATCATGTAAATAACAAATACATCATTTATAAATTTGTACATTTATTAATTTGTTTAATTTAGGTTACCTTTATGGAGTGTGGAGGTTACAGGTATAAAACATTCATATATATTTCAACAGTTAGTAAATTTATCTTTTTTTTTTTTTTTTTCTTTTTTGCCCCCAAAGCATCATGTTTTTAAAACGCTACTAAAATTCAATGAGGATCCCTTTGCTACTAAATCAATGTAGAAATGGCACTCAAGTTCTTTCCAAAAGTTTTCCAACACTGGACATGTATACAGCAACTGCTTCACTGAGGTACTTTTTCAAATTATCAATTTCTCTAATACCCACAGTGGTTCATCACTGAATAATAAATGATAGACATTTTGCATTGACATTTTTGTATATCTCAGACACTCTGTGTTTTCAATGTTAATTAAAGGATGTACAGAAATTTTTTTAAAGCCATATTTTGTATCTTTGAAAAATAAACAAACTGAAAGAGAAAAAAAATTAAGCAAGTCGTTTTTACAAGAACAGTTATGTTTTCGTTTTGCTGTTGTACCCCAAAACTGAAAGAAAAGTGAATAATCACCCTTTTAGACTATAACTTAGGTTATTTGTTGTAGTAAAATTTTACCCCACCCCCCAGTCCTGAAAAAGATAGAAAGTTCATTTTTACAAATTATCTTGAAAACTACTGTAAAAGGAGTAATGTTAGTAAATCACAGAACATAAAGTCTTCATATTTTCAAGAAATAATTCTGAAATATTTCCATATTTTAACACAGAGGTTCTCAACATTTTTCATGCACTGCTTCACCATTGTTAGATCATCATTCCCTCTTCATTTCTCAAACTTGAAATATATATATTTAAATTTAGATAATTTTTTAATGTGTTTTATAAATTAAACAAGAAAAAGTATAGAAAACATTGATAAATACTAAAATTTGAACAAAGCTAGTTTTTATACTCATAGATTAAAACTAAATACTTAACAGGTAAATAATAGCCTGACCTCATTCCCCCCCCCTGGTTAAGAAGCCCTGTTTTAACGATTTACATTTTTCAGTTTTTTTAATTCCTGCAAAATTACTGCACTATGCATATAAAGGATTTCATAAATACAAACCAATTAAAAATACAATACTTTAATTGAGAATAAGTACATAAAAACCTTTTTAGTTCAGTAGTACATAGATGACAAGAGCCAAAGTCAGATTAATAAAGGCCCTCTCATGTAATTACATATTTTATATACAAGAACTTTATTTAAATGTCTTAAAGGAATAAAAAGCATTATTTTCAATATTTTAGAGGGATATTGCCTTAATTTAAAAAAATCTACAAATGAAGTAGGATAAGATTAAGCTAGGAAAAAAATATCTATAAACACTTGCCTCTCACAATTCCAACAGATTCTGGAGATACACATCCCCATTTATACAAAGGCATACTGACAGAAGGTTTCACTCTAACATGATCTCCAATTTCAAGTGAGCATGGGGCAGGTGCTGAACTGTGGTCAATCTGATATGGTGTAGGAAGAAGTTCAAGTTGCGGATATTTCATCCAATATTGTTTTCCAATCCGTTTCCAGTCCACAAATACATTAAGATAACCATCATACTCAAGCTACAGTAAAAAATTTATGACAATATTGTCATTAATAATCTTAGACAGATAGAATACTGAATCAAATTTTATAGTAAACAGTGGATCCCTATTTTTACATAATCATTATTTATAGGCTTTACGTTTTGAGGAAAGATTCAATGCACATATCTGTAGCAACAGAATTAGGTATTTTCAGTTGCTACATACCTATTAATTTAGATGTATGGGAAAATAGATATTTGAAAATGAAATATAAAGATGTAACCAATTCATAAATGATATTATATATATAAAAATAATATTTTTAACTGATATTCTTTAACCTCACCCACACCTACAACAAACAAAAAAATAAATAAATAAACCTGTGATAAGATCTATTAATGTAACATTTCAAAGTAAAACATCATAAGAGATATAGTTGACTGGCCTGAAATTCGTATGACCTGGAGACCTTGGTATGACATTTCACTGTGTTGCACAGCTAGACATGCAGTTGACTTGTTAACAATGTATAACAGCCAATTCTGGAAGTTATAAATGGCAAATAATGCAGAACTGATATAATTTATATGTATAATAGCATTTTCTGAAAAAAATGCAAATGAAAGTATTGTAAAGCACCTAGCATTACGGTCACTTGTAAGTATTGCTGATGGTTATCATTCCAAAACCACTGGATTCTTCTGTGGGTAAGATATCAAAAAAGACAATGGTTCAAGCTTTGATTGAAAAAAAAAAAAAAAAAAAAAAAAAAAAACAGTGAGCTTGAGAAAAAGGTAGATTTCTCTACCTAAGAAATAAGCATTTTGAATAGAACTAAGCCACAATGATGAGAATGAATCTTTCCTAAGATGTGGACAGAGAAACCAACCAGCATAAGATAGTGCAACAGCTCTGATTCCTAAGTAAATGTTAGAACATACAACACACATATAAATAACTATATACAAAATCATATCAAATATAAGAAACATTAGACAGTTTGCATAAGGATCAGTATTAGTACAATAAATGAGACATTGTCTACAAAAAGGTCCTTTGCTAGCCAGATGTTGCTTCTACAGAATAGATTTATAATTGTAAAAGACCTCAGAATTTCACGTACGAAGAAGAAAAAGGCATTGCATCATATTTGCTATGGTGATTTACCAATACAATGTATGGTGACAGTAGGATGTAATGAATACTATGGAACATGGTCACCAATGAAACATGTCAGATCCAGGTTCAGCTCCAAGTATTTTTAGCATGCCTAGCGAATAACAATACCAGAATCCCATAAAAATTAAACTTATTAAAATTGCCTATTAAAACAGAGTTTTATTTAATTAATTAAAAAGAAAAAAGTTTAGGCTAAGTTATTCAAATATGGTAAAGCTTGTGAAGGCTCTCCGCTTGAGGAAAGGGATGCCTGTATGGAGGACTTTCTGAGGAAAATTGGCTTGTATTCACTTGCACATAGGGACGACTGCGAAAACAAACCTTGCAGGCATCCTACTTGCTTGGAATTGAATTTGTATCAAATTCCCATTGAATGGCCTTAACTACTCGGCGACTGGTTAGGCCTAAAACCAGAATTTTCAACTTACTGTAACTGAACAGTAAGTTGCTTTTTATACAGAAAAGTCATCAATATTATTATACTGTAAGTTTCAGAAGAGAAGCTTTGTCTGTTGATAGAGATGCAAGGGAATTAACTTTTCTTGACATAAACATGAGCCAAATAAGCTTCTAACAGTTTCAACATAAAAATACACTTCTCTGGTACAGCTATGGATAGCAAAAACTATCAGAAAAATTTAGAGCATGATCCATATTTTACACTATGTATCCTGTAACAAATATGTACAAATGTGGGGAGCAAAGCCCTTTGATTTTTTAAAAATTCCAAAGCAAGATCTTGCCCACTGTGCAATTTTATACTCATCTCTTCACCATATTTTCAATTACTGTTTGTTTTAAAGCTCACAATAATTTTGGCAGATTTGTGCTAATGACCTCCTATCTAAATTTTCAAGACTAATATGGAATAATCAATGCATGCTCACTATGCTAAGCTGTTCATGCCACTGCTTCAATGAAGAAAGTGTTTGATCTACATGTAGGTTGACTGAAGATATATTTTTATAACTGCTTTCCTAAATCCCTATCAGAATGCTCATAACTGAATATTTGTTTCTTTTGTCAAGTTCTAATGCCTTCAACACAGGTTATAACACAAAAGGAAAACGACAATAGAAAATAATATCTATGGCAGCTTAGACACAAAGCAAAATTAAAATCCCCAATGTAATTTCTAATCATGAAAATACAGAATCAGTTTAAAAATTATATATGCGTGCGTGTATGTGTGTAGTATGACTTCGAGTAAGCTGCAATGGATTGACGATGGTTCTCTGCATTATATTTTGGAAAGACTTTACTGCATAGTTGGAAAGATGGCATTCGAAGGAGACTTGTACACTGATGTGGCCAAATTAAATACAATTGTTATTGCCGGAGACAGGCTAATTATCGAAATATATTTTTCGTTATACATTATCACAGGCACAAGACGCACCCCACAATTTTATACAGAGAATCACATTTTAGATAACAGCATAGTTAGCAGCATTATGAAACAAAGGCAGCAAAGTAGCATCTTTATTCCCAGAGAGCTGAAGCTAAGGTGTGCAATTATTTGGAATGGAGGCTGGCCAAGAGAAGATTTTGGTTTAGATTAGAAAGGTTTCAGTTCTCACAATTTTGAGTTCAGGTTCCAAATTAGCTACGTCATCAGCGTTATGAAAGCCTTACAAGATGTCTGATCTAGAAATGAACAAAGACCAGAAAAATTACTATGATTTTTAGAACAGAGAGGGGAAATTAAGGACTATAGCTAATTTAAATTATAATTTTGATTTACATATTTTTTATATAAGATATCCCTCCCTTTAAAGAGAAAAAGGCTTGGCAACAGAAAAGCCTTTTTTGCAAAATCATTAAACAGTAGCAAAGAAATTTTGTACAATATGTACAGTTCATACGAGAAAGCAAAAGAAAGGCTTGAAGGATGTGGCCTTGATGCAAAATAAAACGATAAAGATAAAAAAGTTCTTGTATTCAAGATGTTAGTTATGTTCAAAATGTATAAAATTCTTGAAAAGATATCTTGATACTGTCTCAAATTTTGCAAAAACTCAACATTGTTTTCAATCGATATTATTTTCAAAACGTAGTTATGAAACTGCATTATATTTGGTATGTAAGTACTAATAATACAAAAATAGATTTGCATATTATAGCGTAATGGAATAACTGATACACATAAAAACAAAACACAATAATAACAAACTTTGATAAAAATGGGCAGGTCTATTATAATGCAAATCAGCATAATAAATTGCTGATGGCTATGGGATGCTCAAATACAGTTAAATGTAAAAGCCTCCATTCCTTAAAAAGGTGACTAGCTGTTAGTATAATAAGATAAATCAAAGTTTAAAATTTCAATTTTACTGTTATGGCCATAAAAATTCTTTTACATTATATATTTGGCATTAAAAAAAAACTAAATACATAAAAGTTAAGACAGACAAATAACTTGTATGCTCAAGTTATGTCGGAGAACATTTAATTAGTATAACAACATTACCCAAAATATTAAAATTTATGCTGAAACTATCGCCAGACGAATGTGACTGGTGAAAAATACTCAGCCAGCTGTCTAACCAAAGTGATTCTCCTAAATAAAAATTTTAATTTGGGTACATAGGAGTATATTTAGGGAGACAGAGGGCATGTGGTATCACTGCTTATGTCCTCCCTAAAGAGAGAATTCAAGAAGCGTAAAACATACAGTGTAAAATCTCGGGTCAGATCATCAAGTAAAATGTAATCACACATGATCATGGCCACAATACGCCCACCACAATTTTATACAGAGTATCATATTTTAGATAACAGAATAGTTGCATGACAAAGCAAAGGGAGTGAAGTAGCATCTGCAAAGCAAGATATCTGAAGCTAAAGTGTGCAGTTATCCAATATAGGCATTCACCAAGAGAATGATTTTGGTTTACATTAGAAAGGTATCAGTTCTCAAAATTTTAATTTCAGGTTACGAATTAGCTACGCCATCAGCATTACGTAACCTATACAAGATGGACTGATCTAAAAATGATGCAGTCCAGAAAAGCTATTATGATATTTAGAATAGTTTACATATCTTTTGTGTTACACATAAATATATATATATATATATATATATAATATACATGTTTCACAGATCATGGGACAAACTTGGAGGGGTGGTGGAGCTTAATAAAACATGCTTTTACTGTATAGGAATGTAGGGTCTAAAGTGATGGTTTAAAGCAGGAACACACACACCACACACAAAAAAAAAAAAAAAAAAAAAAAGACACAAGAAGAAAATGTGTTTATGTAAAATCAACGCAAAGTGCTTCTTTGCAGTAATACAGTATTCACAATAAATGTTCAAAATTGCAATTACCAGCAGTAATACATGCTTGGTAATGCCGCAGAAGGGATTGACGAACAGTTTGAAAAACGACAGGCATTTCGCGCACGTTTGCATCCACAATGGATAGTCGTGCAACGAGGTCCTCCTGTGAGTCAACGGGAGTCTCTTAAATGATGCTCTTTAGATGGCCCCATAAAAAAAAATCCAAGCTGGATAAGTCTGGACAACAGGGTGGCCATTGAACAGGTCCACCACGGCCAATCCATCAGCCCGGAAATGTCCCATCCAAGTAATTGCGGACCCGCACGTGGTTATGGGCTGGTGCACCATCATGCTGGAACTACATGTGATCACGAATGACAGCCGGAACATCCTGCAGCAATACTGGTAACACCTCTTGCAGAAAAATATGATAACATAAGCCATTTGTATGTGCACATAAGAGATATGGGCCTATGAGGTAGTCGTTAACAATACCCGCCCACACATTCATGGAGAAGCGGCTTTGAAATGCATGTGGATGTGTGCCATGTGGATTATGAGTTGACCA